TGTTTGACAGATGCAATGCTTGTATTGCTGCAAGAGGTGCACATTTCGAACAAAATCTTCATTAAAAAGTTTATAAATAAAATAATTAAAATAATAAATTAAATATATTTTTTTCTTTTTTCGTGATTTCCTGCGAAACAAAGCAAAAAGGAGCATATGTCTATAGGACTTTTTTTCTTAGTTTTTTACTCCTCTACACGCTCCCGAAGTTTTGCCATTTAATTTGGAAACACCCTATATACAGCAATTAAAAAATCAAGTATAAATACTTACACATGATGTTAACACACTAGCAGCAGCTTTATCAAAGTGAAATCCACGTACAGATCGCATACTATCGGCAAAGAGGGACAAAACGTAGAGTTCGCCACTTTTCAAAGAAATAACTAAACGATCCGCAGATATAAATGCTACCTGTGATCCTTCTAAACTCATCTTTACTCCTTCCTGTGGCTCTGCAAAAATAAAAGTAACAAAAATGTATTTAATAATTAATACATGGATATCATAAATCATACATATTATCAGAAATACTAAAAATTCTACTTACTTAATGGAAAATTTGTACTTGAGTCTGCTAAACTGTTAAGTGATACTCCATAAGGTGGTATACTTTGATTCAAATAAATAAGCGAGTTAACTGCCATTATCAGGGTACCACCTAGGGGTTTTTTTACAGGTACAGCTTGATAACAGTCAAATGGCAAATTGGAGACAGACCAAATAATAGGATGAACCCTTTGCTGTATATTCAGAGATATGGCAACCATTGCACAAGTATCTTGTCTTACCGCAATACGCCTGTATAAATCAAAATAGTCCATGAGATTGATATAGACATATAATCTCTCTTATTTATTTTATAAATATAAAATGTATTCTTACCCTGAAAATGTTCTTACTGGCTCGTATAAAATTAATAATGTAGGTTCGTAATATCCATGTAGGAATTGTAAGTCTATCACATTATCCATCTTTTCCTCCAATGTTTTCAATACTATCATGTATGAGGATAGTATCGGAGTCTTATTGGTAGATGTTAATTTCGTACTATCGAGTAAATCGCCATCATCAAGGCTAGGATCCTTACGAAAGGGTAGTACAACTAATTTTCTACCAAATATCAGCATTACTGCACATCTTCCCTCGGGATCCACTCTTACTATTGGTATATGATGATGATTTGTCCATCCATCCTAATAAAATAAAATGTAACTTGAAAGTTTGAGATATTTGCAGTATTAAGAATAAAATTTGATTGATATAGCTCAATGTTAGAACTTATCAAACAAAAGATTCTGGTTTAATTCCTAAAATTATCATCACACATGATATTAAAAATTTAAATTGAGAAATATTATGATTAAAACAAAGTATCTAAAACATGAATTTAATTTCAACGTGACTGAGATAAAACATTATGGTATTTTGAGATATTTAGTTTAATAATGTTTATGATATTGTTTTTTGAAAGAACAGAGAAAACTTCTAAATATAAATGATAGCTCTAAAAACAAAGCTTGATTTCCAGAATAGAAGCTCTTATAGTTCTTTTCCATAAAAATTGCAACCTTTATTTCTTCTTCTTCAAAGTAATGCAACGACACAGTTCTTAGATCATGAATATCCTGATCATATTCAACAACAGATAGCTTTGCGTCACGAAAGCTAAGCAGCAAAGAATCTCTTTGTGATCCAATGAGATGAACGGCCTGCATGGACATGATATTTCCGTGTAAAGTATACTGTGTCAAGCACTCCAGCTTCATTTTAGGGGGGCGTGTTTCTGCAAAAAGAGAATATATGTATATATTTTCCTATTTTATATACTCAAATGTTAGTAGTGTTTAAAGGGGAAATTAAAATAAAAAAGTACCTGTGTATTTTTCCCTTCTTGTCATGTCCACATCAGGAATCAGACGAAACACCCGTATAACATTCGCGCCGGCAACAACGAGACACTTCTCGTTGCGGTTGAAAAAGTGGCATGTGATCGCGTGCTCGACTCCAGTTGCGGGATGGGTACTTCTGCATATAGAATACATGACTGAGCGTCACCAAACGATGCAAATATTGTCACGGATATATTTTAGAGAAATGTTTATTTCACAAATTAGCAGTGAAAATCGTGAAAGTTAGCATAAACAATGTAACACGTCGCGTCGTCGAACGTGAAGCAACGTGACGTGACCTCAAGAAAGGTTAGGTAACAGTTTAAACGAGAGATCTGTTCTTTATTCCTGCACTTTCCTGTCCAAATTGGTGCAGGGCATGGTGGAACCATGAGGTTTGTTCTTTTTGACTGAACTTTTGCACCAGTTCATCTTTCTTCCTTTTCTCTCCAGGAGAAAAGAAGAAGAAGAAGAAAGATGAACTGGTGCGAAAGTTCAGCCAAAAAGAACAGGCCTATGGTGTAATGTAGGATTCACACTATGTACGGCCTCCGACGTACAGCGATACCAAGGGCCAGTTTCACCAAGCCGATTAAGCTTAATCGATGATTAACTGTCAATCGCAATTGGTCAATTCTACTAAACAGCAAACGTGATTGGTCAGTCAACGGCCGATTAAGTTAACTGGCGTTGGTGAAACTGGCCCAATAATGCCTGTTCTACATTAGGGTCGCAAGTCATAAGCCGTAAGAAATTGGCCAATCACAGTTAAGTGTGAGAAGAATAATCGATCTATGATTGGCCAATTTCTTACGACTCACGTTTCACGACTCAGTTACGACCATCTTTGTGCTAAGGCCCTACCTAAAGGTGAATGCTAAATGCCAGTCGATGCAATCCTTCTTCGAAGTTCGAGTTTGTCGTTCTTTTGTGTATTGTTGTGGACTCCTTTTTTAGATCGCATTAACATGGACGTGAATATACGTCGTCTCGTGACTTATAGTAATTGATACCTAATCGGATTATCGACTCCATCATCGTGTTCTCCACTCCGTGCCTCCTTATTGTTCTGGGCATTTAACCAATATGTCAGACGTTAAGAGCCTTGAACATCCTACATTGAAGGTAAACATTTGTCTCTTACTCACTTATACTCCTCCTATATACAATGTCATGATGCTTTCGAGATAATTTATTTGAAAATTTTATCGTCTGTAGTATTGTGTATAATTCTGTATAATTGATAAATACATTTACGTATTTTCAATTAATTTTAAGTAATCTTTTATAATTTTTTAAAATGTATATCTGAAAAAAAAATCGCTAAAGATAAATAATATTTTATCAAATGTAAATCTTTAAAAAATAGATAATTTTTAGAAATAAAATTTTTTACAACAGATGTGAATATTATATGCATATATATATATATTAGACTGACAAGGAAAATAAAATTTTTTTTTTAATCGATCTTAGCTCAAAAGCTTCCATTTTATGTCAAAGAACCTCTAAATTTTTATCAAAAAATATTAAGATTAAAGATCGCTAGTGAACGATTTTTAAATCAAACTTTCGATTTTTCTTAATTAAATTTTCCTTAATGTTTAATTTGATGCAAAAATCGCTTAAACCGGATTTTAAATAAGGATAGAAAAAATCTTTTTCTATCCTTAAAAAAGTTCTAAAATATATCGTTTGGTTAGTTTTGAAATCCTCAAATCAAATGCTTCAATTTGGTGATAAAAAACTCTTTATTAGAAAATGAAATGAGTACATAATAAAAAAATATACTACATAATATGTAGTTTATTTCAATTAATTAAATCATATATTTTTATATTATCAAATTGTATTATATTGTCAAATTGAGGCATTTGATTCAAGGATGGCGAAACCACAAAGCGATATACTTTAGAACTTGTAAAAAAATTTTTCCATCCTTAAAATCGTTTTATAATCCAGTTAAATGCAACTTTTAAATGCCCTGTAGGAAGTCCCGGGAAAATTCCAATTGGTTCTGGATGAACAGACCTACAATTTGAGGGGAGTAACGACCCATTTGAACGCTTGGAACCTTGCTAAAATCGACTTTGAACTCAAAATTTGATCATTTTTTTACAATCGGGCTATATTTCTTAAGGTGTATATTGTAGGGTTAAATGAATTATTGCATCGTGTTCAGCAACCAAAAAAATATACAGTACCACATTTCAAATCCGATTTAAGCAATTTTTGCATCAAATCAAACATTAAGGAAAATTTAATTAAGGAAAATCGAAACTTTGATTTAAAAATCGTTCACTAGCGATCACTCACTTTAATCTTAATATTTTTTGATAAAAATTTAAGGGTTCTTTTGACCTAAAATGGAAGCTTTTGAGCTGAGGATTAAAAAAATATTTTCTTTTTTTCCCTTGTCAGTCTAATATATATATATATATAAAATTATTATTTATATATAAATATATATACACACACACATACACACACATTTATATAAAAAAATATAAATACATATTATATAGTTTTGTTAATATTAAATGTTATATGTTTTTACTTATTTAATCTAAATCTCTCTTGTAAAAATTTTGATGAATATGTATACGATATTATATGCTTTAATAGAATATGTATCAAAGGATGCTATCTAGCAAGACATATATATTGACACAAGTCATTGTATCTTTGTTTAATATTCAATGAAAGATAAAGACATGACTCCTAAAGAATGACTCCTATGTTGATATATGAATACGTTCTAAATTAAACACAAAGCCCATGATGCATCATTTGTCCTTGTTTCATGCATAATTTGGAATGTATCTAATGTTTTTTGCTGGAAAGCTCTCAAAATCTACTTATGTATCAATAATGTAATTTTAAAATGCAGGTTCCATACGAGCTTCTAAACAAAAAGTTCCGTTCTGCTCAGAAAACTCTTGATAGAGAAGTATCACATGTTCAAGCAGTATCTAACGAACTTGAGAAAAGTTTGAAGACTGATGGAACTTATGTAGCAACCGGTGAAATTAGCAAATTGCTCGGTGGCGTAGTCGCTAGGCTTCAAGTTTTAAAGCGTAAAGCTCAGGAGTCCATAGCAGAGGAATTACAAGCAGGCATGGTGTGTAAAAGAAGATTAGATCATTTAAAGGATCACGCTAATACCTCTCCGAGCGCTGTGAATCAATGGAGACGACAGAGATTAGACAGAATGCTTGTGGAATATTTCCTTCGCAAGGGATACTACAAAACGGCTACTAAACTGGCAGACAGTAGCGAACTTAGGGATCTAACAAATATTGGTATATAGTTTGATAAGTGATCATTATCACACTTCATACAAAAAATTCTTTATTAATCTTTGAAGCTATATTATACAAGTATCAAAATACTTATATTATTGTAATATAGTACAAATAGAAAGAAAAAATAGAATCATAGTAATATTTAAGCACATATGATTAAGTAAAAAATTAAAAAAAATGGCGAAGATCAATATGAATTGAAAAATTTATCGCAAAAAGATATTCAAAAAATTCTCTTTTCAAATCAAATTTTTAAAATGTTATAAATTCTCAGTGAGAAAAAATTTTCAATGTTTGTCAATTTTCAATATTTTATAACATTTACAGATGTATTTATGGTATCGAGGGAAGTGGAAAAATCTTTAGCCAATCATGAAAGTGCGAGATGCATCGGTTGGTGTCATGATAATCGTTCGAAGCTAAGAAAACTAGGCAGCACTATGGAATTCAATTTACGCGTGCAAGAATTTATCGAATTAGTGCGAACCGACAGACGGCTTGATGCGGTGAAGCATGCTCGAAAATACTTTGCCAACTACGATGATTATCAGCTGCAGGAGATTCAGTGCTGCATGGGCCAGTTGGCCTTCCCGGCTCACGCATACTTGAGTCCCTATAAGGATTTACTGGATGAAAAGAGGTTCGCAATTGTGCTATTTATATTGGCCATTTATAAACGAAGTTACAAAGTTATCGCATAACTTTATGATATGAAAATTGTAGTTTATTTAATTCATATAAATCAATAATTCATAAGAATTTTTTTATAGATGGGACAAACTGATCGAGACATTTCGGCAGGAAAACTACAGATTGTTTCAGTTAGCGAGCCAGAGTGTATTCACGGTAGCTCTGCAAGCCGGCTTGTCGGCTCTCAAAACTCCCCAATGTTACAGCGCGAATAAAGAAGGTCGAAATCCTAGCTGTCCAGTTTGCAACGAAGCGTTAAATGAATTAGCCGCACCATTGCCTTTCGCTCATTGTTCGCAATCGCGACTTGTTTGCAGCATAAGTGGGAAACCACTAAACGAATACAATCAACCTATGATGATGCCGAATGGATATGTGTATGGTGAACAAGTAAGTTAAATTATTGAAATATTAATAAATTAAATAATTTACAATATTATAACTCTTAAAATATTAATATTTTGAAGAATAATGCTAGCAAAATATATAACGTGTGTCTAAAGACGATATCAATATAAAATACAGAAATAATTTTAAATATAAAAAAGTATTATTTTATTATATTAAATTATATTATACAAGTAATATTATGCATGTGTATGTGTGTATGTAATAATTAAATTTTAATAATATATAATTAAATATACAAAATTTTATCTTATAATATTTCTCTCTGAGAAAATTTTTATGATTGTATCTTTTCCAATGTTTGTACTTATATTTTTTGTTGTAGGCATTAGAAAAAATGGCTCAAGAAAATAACGGCACTGTGATCTGCCCAAAGACCAAAGAAGTATTTCCATATAAAAAAATTGAAAAGGTTTACGTAATGTAAACTCTTACATTGACACAAAGTATATACATATGTTGTACTATATGCTTGACGCTTATATGTGGCCCTCTCCTTGCTCCAATCTTTCTGTTATTTAAATAATAATTGTATACTATACTAATAATACTGGAACGAAATAACATCTATTTTTAAGGAAAAGTTGATCGACTTATTCACATCCATCCTGTATAAAAAAATATGTAATGGAGAATATTACTGTAATTATAATTTGTTGTTATATAGTATAATATTAATTATTTATTAACGGGGATAGTTAATCCTTATTCATTTATTTAACGTTCTTTCTACAATAAATTGAATGATTCAAACTGTTTCCCATAAATCTACTTATTCATAAAACGCAACCATGTATTTCTTATCTTATAAAGTTCTTACATATATAGGGTTTATCAGAATTCATATTTTATATTGGATGAAAAAAAAAAACGGTCCCCTTTAGATATCGAATAAAACTGTACTAAAATGATGCACAAAAGTAATGTTGAAAATTCAAGTTTTCTGAAAATTAATAGATTAAAAATAATGTATGAATTCAATTAACTTAATTTAAAAAATTAAACTTCTTTTTTCTAAAAATTAAATTGAAGAATTCAAACGCGATAGGATCAAATTTTTACAATATTCGAAAAATAATTTGAGTAACTTAATGTGTATTTATAATCAAGAGATCTACAATTTTTAATCACCCTACATATGCATATGTATATTTAGTTGATGTATTGCATACATTCCAACATAGAAATGACAAAACTGCTGATAAAACAGTAACAATGTATGAATCAACTTATACGATTAAAGATTTGAGCACGAGTGTGGCATGGCAGACAGTCTATCATGCCAGAGGTCCCGGGTTCGATCACAGTAGGAACCAAAATATTTACGCTTGTGTCTCCTCTCGGAAAAGGCTGGCAACCTCTCAGAGAGGTATCTCTGCCCATAGAAACACCTCTCGAAAAATCTGCCGTTTGGAACCGGCATTAAAACTGTAGGTCTCACATATTCATGGCAATTGAATAATCAGCGTGCGCACAAGCATATGAGAGAGGTGTAACACAGACCAGAGACCTAACGTAAGAAGAAGAATGCGTATTTAAATCTTATATTAATATAATATTGAATACTAATGCATGAATATTTTTAATAGATTGCTTAAAATCTAAATGGTACAATATGCGCGAAACAATTCATCGAATGAAATTTATTCGTGTGACAGAGAATCCATATAAAAATATTTTATCTACCCTAGCAATTTTTTTCTTTTCTCTTCCTTCAATTCACGAATTTTCCGATTTTATTGGATTATTTATCAAATTCCCTTGATCATTTATTGTCTGTTGTTCTATATGGAGGATTGTCTTTGTAGGAATTCAAAATATGTTTTAGAATTGTTATTTTTATCAGTCTGATAAGATAACGATCGAGGAAAGACATTCCATTATTTTCCCTTAATAAAGTAATGAATAGAAACACACATTTTCAATTGCGACGCAGTGATTCTATCAAACAATTTATTATTTTATAACTACATTTTTTGGAGACGACTTATACATATAATCTATTAAATGAATTAGATCAATTTAATTAAATTTATTAGATTGTAAAACCTGTGCAATCTAATTTGTTTAATTTTTAGAATCACTGTATTACAAAAAATGAGTTTTTCTTCAAATGTGTTTGTCATGCGATGAATTTGTGTTACGTTCATTGATTAGTAAAGGCTAAATTGAAAACGGATGAAAGATATAATGGAGTAATATTATCGTTATGCATAAGTATAAGTTGATAGAGATAATAAATATATTATAGAGCTTACACTTTAGCATAATTAAAAATGCATGTGTAAATGCGAACGAATAAAATTCGCTGAAATTTGAATATATTCTATATCTTATATAGAGTTCCTGTCTAAAGTATTTCAACACATTATATTCTCTAATATTGTTCGGATAATAGCTCTCTTATCAATACAAAAATAATAAAATTAAAACAAAATCTGATAAAATTAGTAAAATAGAATTTGGTGAAATTGAACATTTTAGGAACATTTTGTATCGTAACACAGCATAACATCTGAATGAAAATCCTGTACAAAAAAATAAAATATAAAATTATAGACATGTTTAAGAGCTGCATCAAAATGTATCCTGTAATAAAAATTAATATACTGCATTACAAATATTATATATATATATATACAATAAAATTGTTATGAATAAATTTCGGTCAGAACACAGATAAAAAAATGTTAAATTTGTGTGATAATGTTAAAGTGATTATGATATTAATATGTATATTTAGTATAAACTTTGAAAAACATTCAAAATATAGATAGAAAAGATATTTCAAGCTTAAACTGTAATCTATTTAAAAATAATCTTTAACAAGAGCAATGTATATTGCAATGACAGAGAAAAAAATTGTGGTGATCGTCCAGGTACGGCTTAATGGAAGAGTATTATCTATTGTACAGCTTAATCTCACGATCATTTGAAATGCATAAAAATTCATCGCTACATAAACCATAAATAACATAAGCATACATTATAATCTTTTATACATATACATGAAGAAAAAAAGATTACGTAATTATTATTATATAACATAATCATAGCCCGAAAAAATGTAACTACTTTCAATTTCTAAAATTGTCGCTCATTAATCTACAAGTATAAGGTGGAAAGCTCGTCAAAATTGTGAGGGGACTAGTATCAATTGGATGGCCAACAGTCTTAACTCTCCTGCATCTCGTGACGTAATATAAGTTGTTCCAACTGTTACAAAACAGAAAATTCATAAAAGCATACTAAAATTTAACTTGAAATCATTGAAAATATTATAAAATAAAGACGTAGCGAATTTGTTTTTAAAAAGTAACTTCATTTTGATTTCTGAAAAAAATATGAGATACTGCAATTTTTTTATATAAATGCAATATATATAAATATTATGTAATAAGAATATTAAATAAAGTACCAAATCATACTAAAAAAATAAAAAATATAACCTTGTAATTACAGAATAGTGTAACATTATAAATAATATGAAAGTTTATTACATCAGATCTTGCTATATTCTATTATGATGTAAAGAAATTATTAGACTTGGCCTTTTATTTTGTATTACTTGTAAATTATGTTGATTTTCATTTTATCAAAAATTTAAATTGCAGAATTGAAAAAAGTTTGAGAATTGTAAATTTAATTTTAACAAATATAAAATTATATGTGTAATGTTTTTATGAAATAGTTGCTAGAATTAAAAATTGCCTTGTCTTTAAAATTAGTTTCAACTATTACTTATCTATAGCTATAGTAATTTCAAAATTGAAATATTTTTTGCAGGGAAATTCAGCGTGACAACTTTAGTAAACTCTATTTAAAAATGTAATGCTTATCTATTAAGAGATATATTCTCGTTACGCGTTTAGCACTACATGAGAGAACAATTCTATTAAATGTTTTTATTTTCTCTTAAATGTGATTGTAATAAATAAAAAATGCATTTAGTGTTAAACGCGTAACGAATTACAGGTTTAAATATGTGATCTTCCTGATAATGATTTAGCGATTTCTATTTGAACAATACAAAAAATGGAGCGCCGCTTAACTTCTTTTTATTAATAAGGCTTATTGGTCCGGTTTTAGTAATAGGGGCAGTAGTAATAATAGTAGAGAATTAGTTTTTATAATTCTCATAAAACCATGGATTCCGGTATTTCCTATACAAATCTGTTGTATGAGATGATCATTTTGTATCATTAATGCACTTTACATGGTCTTAATTTACTTTTGTATCTATTTCTTCTATTAACGGGACTTTAAAAATTATCAATCAATAAAAACTCCAAGCCACACACTTATAAAAAACACGCATTGCTTCCAAATAGCTTTTACTTAATTAAGAGCTTGTCCTTATATTGTTATTTATGTCCTTAATTGTTATTTAAAGAATTGTACGATTAGATATATATATATGTATGTATTTAACGTATATATAAGCAAACGAGCATTCTGGAAAACATCTCTCTTATTTGTGTCGAGGAAAGTAATGTTCATTTCTGAAAAGTCATTTCTTTTCTCGAGTTGTTCTTAGGAATAACGTTTTACTTTTCTTCTTCAACATTGTTATTTCTTCAAGCTTTTAAATTGTTATTTCACATCATTTTAATTTGTAATTATGTGTGTGTGGGAGATAGACTGCATTCTTAATTTGCAATATTTTTTTAGCTCCTGAGTTGATATAAGCATATTGCTGAACCTTATCTTTAAAACGATCAAAATTTTATGTTGGCCACGATAGAAGGCATCACCATGGAAAATAGAATTCCCGTGAAAATCCCCGTCATCAAAGAAGCCGCTCCAAACATGCCGGCCGTCGAAGCGTACTGTGAATCCACCATTCTAAATACAAAATATTTCTCAATAGTAATATTATATATATACAGGGTGTTTCCAAATTAAATGGCAAAACTTCGGGAGCGTGTAGAGGAGTAAAAAACTAAGAAAAAAAGTCCTATAGACATATGCTCGTTTTTGCTCCGTTTCAGAGAAATCGAAAAAAAATGTTTTTTTTACCTGCAAGATTAAATGGGGACCGTTTTCTAAATTTCTTGGAGAATGAATTTTCTGACTATTTAGAAAACATCCCATTACAACAACGTACTGAAATGTGGTTTCAATTAGATGGATGCCCTGCTCATTACAGCAGAGTCGCTAGAACCTGGTTAGATAGAAAAACATTTTTTTTCGATTTCTCTGAAACGGAGCAAAAACGAGCATATGTCTATAGGACTTTTTTTCTTAGTTTTTTACTCCTCTACACGCTCCCGAAGTTTTGCGATTTAATTTGGAAACACCCTGTATATGTATTTATTATATTAATTTTTCCCTTATTTTCCATTAATCATGCTTACCTAGGGCAATACATCATCGATAATGACGACAGATAACCGCTAGTAAGGCCCATAGTAATGGCAATGACCCAGAACACCCAATCATTCTTAATAAGTACCGGCAATATTCTTTCTGTGCCCATCGGCTGATAGTTACAGATCAAGAACAATGGTATGTAAACAACTCGCAGAATCACTGGAATCACCAGATACTTTTTGCTCGGCTGAAAAAGAATTAATAAATAAAAGTTAATTAATAAACAAATAGAATTGTACAGTAAATATATTAGAGATATTATCATCCATAATTTTGTAGTATAATAATTTTGTAATATAATTAAATATAGGAAAAATATAAATATATAACAATATAATGTGTAATACATAAGACTAAAATTTACATACCCACTGAACCAACGATGCGATTAAACTTCCTAGCATGGCAGTGATATTGAATGTTAAAAAGCACATAACATTGCTATAATATTCAGAGGGAATTACAAAATTCTTGTCTGAAGACTGTATATCAGATTGGACAGATGGAAAAAGCGCTAAAGTGACGAAGAAGATTAAAAATATATTGAAACATTGTGGGAAGCATGCCTTGAACACCTTCCAATAAGCTGGTTTATATTTTCCTCTTGAATTGTTCTCTAATTGCCTTTTATTCGTCTCTTTTTGATGAAGAAGCTCGTGATATCGATAAAATCTCTACAATTCAATTCAATTAACATTAGTGTTAAATAACTTTTTTATACATTTAGTTTAAAAATTAATAAATCACTGTATTCATGGGCGGAGAATCCTGTATGGAGCATATGCCAATTCTACAAGCCAAATATCCGGCATGTGGAATTTCCACATGCCAGATTTGAAAAACAAAAATTCAAATTTGCGTGTCGGAATTTTATTAAATATACTAAACTCTAACTGCACCTGCGAGCGATCTTTCATCGCACTAAGATGTTTGAAAACGTATTTATGAAGTACAATAGATCAGAAAAGACTATATAATATGGCAGTAATATATGTTAACAAAAACCTTGTACAACTATTAAATATAAATAGTTTAATGGTCGAGTTTATTCGTAAAAAAAGCGTTCGAGGAATACGCTTCGCAGTTTCAATACAATAAAATACATTTATATTTATCAATTGTACGGTACAATTAATAAATACAATAATAAATATAATATTAATGCATTTTAAATAAATTAAAATGCAAGGTTTTTGTTAAATCGATTTAATATATATATATATATATATATTAATGTATACCTATATCCATACAAGTATATTTATAATTTATATATATATGTACATATGAAAAAATTCCAACATTTACTAAGACTCTTCCACGGTGTTGGTACTTCACATGCTACAAAATTATAATTCTCCGCCCATGACTGTATTAATAAATTTATGATTAACTGACTTAAAAGTTAATTTTTAATAAAAATCTTACATTAATTGGAAGTGCAAAGTATGTGTCAAAGCAGGCCAGGAGAATAAATAAAGCCGTGATGAAGTAATATATTGCGGCAGTGCGCGCGTTCGGCGCCATTATTTGAACTAGGAAATTTATTATGGCTGTAAAAGTTCCACTAATATTCTGAAACAAAATTATCAACAGATAACAAATTACAAATGTTTTTATGCAACAACTCTTTGGCTCCTGCACATTGGACGCGGAAACGCTTACTGCGCGGCAAAATGCAACGCAGTAAGCGTTTCTGCGTCCAGTGTGCAGGAGCCAAAGAGTTATTGCGTAAAAACAGTGTGCAGAAGCCATTTATCTTTTTAATTATATTAAATGTGATTGAGGTTAATATTTACCGAGCCTAAGACAACAGCACCTGTGTATCTGAAAGGTAATTTAGCTGCCATTCCAAACACTGAGTTCTGATAAATGCCATTGGCAGCTGAAACATAAATGATCAATGTACATATAATTCAAATATCAGGAATCAATAATGACAATATCCATTAATAAATATACACATATATCTTTATTTAATATACTAATTTCAATATAAATTTGTTTATTATTTGTTGCATATATATATGTTTTACATATAATACATACAATATAGTAAATAAAAAAGTATTAAATATTAATAAATTAACAATACAACATTTACTTACTATTTAATACAACCACAGATATCATAGTAATCCAGAAGAATATTCCAGGCCAACCAGAACTATCAGTCATTGCCAAAATGACAGTAAAGACAAATATTAAGACCAAAACAAAGATACTCCATACTATACGCGTAGTTAAGTTGCCTCTGAAAAGCCAAGTCTCTTTAGTGTAAAACATATTATTATTTAACAACTTATATACATAATTTAAGATCAACAAAATTTATATCTATAATTGCAATTATCAGTGTTATTGATGTTATAATAAAGATACCTATACATAAGTTAAGGAGACATAAAATATTTTTGATGTAAAATATATTTTGTATACATACCCAAATTGTAAAAATATATTCAGCCAATTGAATAATAAATTTGGTACTTGTGATGCAAATGACAGATATGCGAGAAAATTCATCGCATAGTTTGTAGCTACACCAGTGTATTCCTTCGACAATTTGTAACTGACAAAATACTGTAAATATAATAGTTTTATACAAATAATATTACAAAATTTCAACTATACAATATTATTATAAATTATTGTGTCTTGGCTTACATCTTTAGCTGTTATAAACATATTCCATGGCATCAAGGCACCGATTCCATGAAGTACCAATATGAAAAATACTAAATTTAATCTAAAAAAAATACAGAAATATATATTTACTTAAACAAACAATATTTTTATGACTATTATATATATATATATATA